GGGGGGGGGAGTGGGGGGGCTCACGTGTTCAGTTTATTTAAGCGCAAGTTGTAGATTGCCTTAAAGCCAGTGAAAGATTAAAGGAGCTCACTCTGTGAAGATTTTTTTTTTTCCTTTCTTTAAGTCATGTGAAAATGAGGTGTAGGTTAAGTTTGCGATACTGTTATGTAACACTATTTGTTTAGGATGAGGAATGGTCGCTTACTCACAACAAACATCTGATTAAATAATACTAACTAATACTAATAATATAACTAAATAAACAATAATAACAATAACTATTATTGTTATAATTATTATTATTATTTGATTGTAATAATGATAATTATTACTATGGTAATAATTATGATTACTATAATTATTGGTAATTATTCTAATAATGTATAACTATACATGATTATTATTACAATAGTAGTCATTGTAATAATTATATAATTATAATAATTATTATATTATAGTAATTATATTACTTAAAGTATACTTAAAGTAATAAGTATAATTATCATCATTACTATAATTAACAAAATAAGCAAGTAATCAACAACTAGGTAGTTAATTACAGTACATTACGTCAAGTCTGTGAAGATTCTCATTCGTCCAGGTCATGTCATCCAAAGGGTTTAGTTGTTAGCGACTGGACTTCTTGGAGTTTGAAAGACGTTTCGTTCGTGAAGGAGATTTCACTTTGAAATTGCAGCTAATGAGTCAAATTATAAGGGGCTCAAAATAGAACCCTGAGGAACGCCACAAATCCAAGTCCTTTACCATTTGACACCTAACGATACCCTCCTCTACTCTCAGGAAATGAACGAGGACCACAGCACACCCAAGAAGGAGAAGCAGGAGCTTCTGTCCAAGCACAAGGAGAACATGCAGCATTCCCAGGCCGAGGAGGAGGCCCAACTTCTGGCCGAGCAGAGGGTTTTCTATGACAGGAACTGCCGCGCCTTCAAGCGCAACGTCATGATTAGCCGTCACGACTTGGAGCAGGAGCAGATCCGAGAGGTGAGGAGGACGGCAGGGATTAATTTCCTCGTAGTTAAAAAGAAAATTACGTTCATAATAAAGGAAGCAATTCTATTGGGCATACAACAGTGGGCCATGAGTTAGCTATACTTTTTGTTCTCATAAATAATTTGCGAGGTGTGAACTGTTTACATCAAGCAGATTAGAACAGTGTAAACCACGGCAGTAATGTCATAATCTGGAAAAGAATATAAAGTCGGACTCTTAGCTCTCCGTACAAAGTACACAAAATCCTTTAAGTTTGAGACGATAATTTCAATGTATTGCTATGTTGTAGCAGGACGAGGAAAGGGCAGGAATCGAGAGTGGGTTCAAACACTTTATTCCGAAAGCATAGAACAACTCAACTCTACTATCCAATGACTCAGCACGCCAAAACATAACCACCATAACCACGCCCCCAGCCCACAGCCTTGTATGGTAAGAGGCATCCCTTGTAGTGCCTGCCACCCCCCACCAACCCTTGCACACACAGAAGGGACTCCCAATACAAAAATCAGTTTTCTAGCACAGGCTTAATCAGTCTGCCATAACGGCTGTACCTTAACTTAGGACAAACAACAGGTGAAGAAACAACTGGATTCTTGGAAGGAGGACGACCCCTGCAGGGAACCTGGGCCGACAGCATAACTTTGTCTGCTACCATGTGTGCTGGTTTAAGTCTATTTACTGTAACCCCTTCTCTACGCCCACCCATATCCAGAACGAAATGCTTAGAACCCGTCTCAAGCACGCGAAAAGGTCCATCGTAAGGAGGTTGTAGGGGAGAGTGGTGAGAATCATGACGCACAAGAACAAAACTAGCCGACTTGAGTTCCGCAGGGACAAACGATTTGGGAAAACAGTGGTGCACAGGACACAGAGCGAGAGCATTGTCAAACAAAACAGGCTTTGTAGCCAGTGGCTGCTGCGAAACGGAACCTTCAGGCAAAAATGAGACCCGTAGGTGCTGACCAAAAACCAACTCTGCCGGAGAGGCATTTAGGTTCTCCTTGGGGGCCGAACGCAGGCTGAGCATCACCCAATGTAAACGATCCGCCCAATCACTCCCGGACAACGCTGCACGCAATGCCGCTTTGAGTGACCGGTGAAAACATTCACACAAGCCGTTAGCTTGTGGATGGTACGCGGTGGTATGGTAGACCTGAACACCCAAGGACACCGCCAATGCCAACCATAATTCGGAAACAAATTGAGAACCCTTGTCAGATGGGATATCTGACGGCGTACCGAAATGTGAAACCCAGGCTGAAAAAAACGTGCGTGCCACGTCCGCAGAAGTCGTGAAAGACAGAGGTACTACCTCTGGCCATCTGGTGGTACGATCCACCATGGTAAGCAGATGTGTAAAACCGTGTGAAGGCGGGAGAGGGCCCATTAGATGCATGTGTACATGGTCGAAACGCCTGTTTGGAATTAGAAATGGTTCCAGGGGAGCCTTGGTGTGTCGGTGATCCTTGGCCCGCTGACATGCGACACAGGCAGCTGCCCACTCCTTAACCTCTTTGCAGAACCCAGGCCAAAACAACTTGGACCACACTAGCTTAACCAATGCCCGAACTCCTGGGTGAGGCTGCCACACACCAGCCACACGCTGTTCGACTACTGCGCCCACAGCAATGTCAGATGCGTCTGTTGTCACAGCCATGGATGCCGTAGGCACGGGATGTGCGAGGAGTGCCACGTTTGCATGGGCAGATTAGAACAGTGTAAACCACGGCAGTAATGTCATAATCTGGAAAAGAATATAAAGTCGGACTCTTAGCTCTCCGTACAAAGTACACAAAATCGATAATTTCAATGTATTGCTATGTTGTAGCAGGACGAGGAAAGCGCAGGAATCGAGAGTGGGTTCAAACACTTTATTCCGAAAGCATAGAACAACTCAACTCTACTATCCAATGACTCAGCACGCCAAAACATAACCACCATAACCACGCCCCCAGCCCACAGCCTTGTATGGTAAGAGGCATCCCTTGTAGTGCCTGCCACCCCCCACCAACCCTTGCACACACAGAAGGGACTCCCAATACAAAAATCAGTTTTCTAGCACAGGCTTAATCAGTCTGCCATAACGGCTGTACCACACGCTGTTCGACTACTGCGCCCACAGCAACGTCAGATGCGTCTGTTGTCACAGCCATGGATGCCGTAGGCACGGGATGTGCGAGGAGTGCCAGACTTAGCTCCCTCAAATGCCTGAATCCACTCGGGGGTCCAGTCAACAGGCTTTCTTGAGTCTCAGGGCCTCATAATGCGGCTGCAGTAGGTGTGCAGCCCGAGAAAGGAAACGGTTTTGAGGGTAAAGGGACCACACCTTGTGACGAAATGCAGTGGCCTAAGAAATCGATCACCAGCAATCCCAACTGGCACTTTGCGGTGTTGACAATCAAGCCATGTTCGTCAAGGCGTCGGAAAACCTGTTACAGATGTGCTCAACTGCAGATGCACTTGCAACCAAAATGTCATCCAGATAAACCAACACGAACTCGAGGCCACGTAACACCGAGTCCATCAGCCTCTGAAAAGTTAGCGCTGCCCGCTTAAGGCCAAAGGGCATACATAAGAATTCGAAAAGCCTAAATGGGGTAATGACCATGGTCTTGGGAACGTCTTCTGCACGTACGGGTACCTGGTGATAACCGCGCACCAGGTCTACCTTAGAAAAAATAGTGGCATCTGCCAGGCGGACAGAAAAGTCCTGTATGTGCGGTATAGGATAACATCATGTGTAGTGACGTTATTCAAACGGCGGAAATCGTCGCACGGCCGCCACGACCCATCTGCCTTATGTACCAAGTGCAGTGGCGAGGCCCATGGGCTGTTCGAACGTAGTGCTATTGCCAACCATGCCAACCATTCCATGTTCGCGAACTCCTCCTTAGCCGTAGCTAACCTACTAGAGTCGAGACCCTGCGCACGCGCGAAAATGGGCGGTCCCACCGTGGGGATGTAATGCTCCCGATAGCAAGTTTTTGATAAAAAAAAAAGCAGCTCAAATCGATTGCCCGCGTCCAAGGTTGCTACTGAGTGCCGGCTCTGCAGTTTCCCGCCGCCTCAAATCGGCATGGCAGGACGCAGCGTTTAGCTTTGCCGCCAAACCGCTGGTGGAAATAACACAGGCCGTTCCCGCGCCATCTGCGCGTAACCACGTACGCTACAACTGCTGGATCATTGCTGTCCGCTGCTGTCTGCATGGGTTCCACTGTCACACTCCCCACCGACAAACTCCTCGTAGCCAACAAGACACGATCAGCCTCCTCGGCTAAGCTCCTGTAGTCGCCGGTGGCCAGATGCGGAGAATTAGCCAATGCTGCGCGCACAGACGGTGGAAGCTGACGGAGGAAAATGTCCGGGAAGAGGAAACCACCTTCGTCTGAACCCAACAAAGACAACATATTGTCCATAAGATCCAGAGCTGCGCCGTCACCTAACCCGGGCAGGGAAAGGAGTTTGTCTGCCCCCTCCGCGGCAGACAAACTGTACCTCCGTAGTAACAGCTGCTTGAAAGTGCCGTATTTCCCGTGTAGTGGTGGGGACCGCAACAACTGCGTGACCCGACGTGTGAATTGCTAGTCGAGGGCTGCGACAACCATGTAGTCCCTCGGGTTGTCCGCGGTAATTCCACGCAGGTGGAACAGTGCTTCAATGTGTTGGAACCACGAAGCCGGATTTCGGGAAGCTTGCCGTCCGTTGCAAAGCGACCGGCAGCGAATGTTCGGCTGACATGCTTGAAGAGGTTCCTCTGCAGCTTCGAACATGTTCAACTCGGGGTCACCAATGTAGCAGGACGAAGAAAGCGCAGGAATCCAGAGTGGGTTCGAACACTATCCCGAGAGCACAGAACAATTAAACTCTACCCTTAACAACTCAGCGAGCCAAAACATAAGCACCTTAACCACGCCCCCCAGCCCACAGCTTTGTATGGTGAAAGGCATCCCCTGTGGTACTTGCCACAATTTGTTATGTTATTCACTCT